TGTCAGCATTGTTATTGGCAATCCCACTGCAAACTAGTAAAATGGGGAATGATGTTTAATGCCTTTTTATGGATTTCTCAGTTGATTCAGTTGGGTCCTATTCAAATATTGTGTTCATTTTAAATGCTGCAAATGGTAGGGCAAGCGTGACTTTTGTTCAAGAATCTGTTTTTCAAATACATCATATTTAGAGACCTATAAATAAAAAAATTCAGAAATAATGTTGATTAATTTTAGGGGATTGGCAGAGTTTTCATATTGTACTTCAACCACTATCTTAGGAGCTGTTTCTGTCAGGAAAAGACTGCACTATGAATAACTCTTTCAGTATTTCTGTGGATGCTGACTTCTAAGGCAACTGAAACAAAAGCAGCTCTTCAGAGGTCTATGCAAGATTTCCCAGTCAATGAAGCTTGTAGGAAAGATCAGAGAGAACAGGAAGACACCACAAACAAGGCTGTGGTACTCAGTGCCAGGTAGGGCCAGCTTTGTCCAGCATCTATAGGGATGTTGGAAAGGACAACTTGCAACCTATTTATTGGGGTCACTGGTGGCAATGGTGGGAGACCTGCTCCTCAACTTTGTTTCTGTAGCATTGCTATATGGTGTTGGTGTCACTCAGCATCTCAGACTCCACAGGGATGTGGGAGAAATTTAACCCCCTGCTGCAATACACTCTTTTTTGTATCAAATTTTTTTTTGTTTCTCCTGGAGTTCAGTAGTTTGACGCCTGCAAGGGCTGTGCTGTAAAGTGTGCTCTGCTCCTGTTTACAGTCACCAGTAGGATGGAGAGCAACACACTCATTTACTGCTAGGTAACAGCTGTGCTTAATCATCCATGGGACTGTAAGACGTCCTCTTAGTGTCTACCTAATTAGCAGCTCTACCATTTATTGGAATATTTGGCCACTTCAGTTTGAAAACTGATTTATTACTATCAAAGAAATTATCGGCTCTTTCAAACATCCTCTGGATGCTTCCCTAGGATACTCACTGATAGGGGTTCTTAGAATGTATAAAATCTGTTAAGTACTTGAGCCTTCATACAAATTTTCTATAGCAAACAACATCAAGCATCTTTGGAACTCCAGTTCTTCACACAATTCATCATCTCATTCATTAGTTCAAAATCTTGTATTTAGATTTAAAAAAAAACCCCATCATCACTATTTTGGAATTGCAATCCTGTTACGTAAAAATCCACACACAACTTTAAATGTGTTTGTCTTACTGATTTTAAAGGTCCACCTGCTTGATTTGCAAGTATCCTATTTGGTTTCCTAAATGTCAGTCAGGAGAAACATGGCATCAGCCTTCATTGGCTCTCTTCACTTGACAGATATATGTCTGTGTGCCAAAAGAACATGCTGTGGTTCTCCCACAGTCCTATCTGTCCCATTTAACTTAGTCATTAAACTGAAAAAAAAACTAAAACAAAAAACCAAAACCAACCAAATAAACAGAAAAACCCCAACCAATTCCCCCCTCCGCCCCCTAAAAACCACAAACCAAAAAAACCCACCACCAAACAAAAAACCCCCAAACCCTAATTGGATTGCAGTAAGACAAGTGTGCTAGTTTCATGGTAGGGGAAAAGCAAGCTGTATTAACTCTGATATTTCTAAACCCCAAGACTGTGGTCTTAGCTTAGGATGGATCCTGGGAACAAATATCTGCTTTCACACACGTGCTGCAATACAGGGACCAAGATACAACCTGACCCCACTCTGCACTTGCCTGGGCAGGGTGCAGGGGCTGGCAGCCTCAGCAGTGTGCACTGCCCACAGATCACACACCCACACATGCATTTAATGCATCAATAAATTTCTTGAACAGTTTTTTATGTCTGTGTGACAAATGGTTGGGGGGGGTAAGAATTTTCTACATCAGTAACCCTCCCCACCCCTTGCTCCACCTCCCCCCACCAAACAGATACCCCGTACCTGGAGACATTTCAATGCCTAAATTATTAATAAAATAAGCATGATAATGAATAATCTATGTTAAGCATTTTCTTACCCTTTATTTTTTCATTATGATCAGAAGAGGAATATGATTAACAGCAGTTTAAACTTTAGCAGTACAATTTCAGTATTAAATATAAAACTACACTGCAAGTTGATGTGTTTTAAAAATGGTTATGTATACTCTAACCTTAAATTTATGTATCAAATACAAGTAACTCAATTGTTTCTTGCCTTGACAATTCACATATCTAACAGGTTTCAACAAGCCAGACATCCATCTTTTCCATTAAAAAAAATAAGCAAGCACACCAACTCTTATTCATAGCAAGGGAGTGTAAAGATTCAACACTTTCCTGAGTGTTGTGTAAAGAATAACCGGTTCAAGAAAGTCAGTTAGATAAATGTAATGATAAACCTAAAGCTAAGCTGGAGGACCTTTTGATTAACTTCATATTTCATATATTACTTGCATCAGTTGAGAGCAACGAGTTACAGAACTTCCATGAAAACAAGCCACTTACAAGCAGGTGTTTAAGCTTGATCAGTTTATTAAAAGGATTATATGACATGGTTGCCTGCAATAGCAGGGGACTGGATCTGATGACCCAGGAAGTTCTTTCCAGTCCCATGTTTCTAAGCCATGCACCAAGTGTATCCAGCCCACACTTTCACATTTGGAAAAAGCCAAAGCCACACACACACGCTCACAGGAAAAAAAAGTAAAAAAGGAAATAAAAAAGACCTCGATGACACCATTTCATTTTCTAGATATTCACTATGCAGAAGGGAACAGAGCTAAAGTCCTGTACAGAGGATACATTTACTCGAGGTTGATGTGGTACTGAAGTCAGTTAATAATTAGATACCTCCAGGCAGATTCAGTTACAGGGCATACCAACACTGCACACTGCCAGACAATTTCTAATCAAGCCAAGAACCTCTTGCAGGATGAGGTCTGTTTGCTAGCAAGCACAGGGCACACTGAATAAGCTAAAAGCAGCTGTTCTTAAATGAACTACCCTACCAACCGTGAGTGAATGACAGATAGATGGTAAGAAGCATTTACCTACTAGACAAGATCTCTGCACACTCAGGCAGAAGTAATTAGTTCAGAGCTGCAACCATTGCTCCTACCTTGCCTGTCTCTTGAGTATGTTCTCTTTAAACGCTGGTCTACAGAATCAGTGCAGCCATTCTCAAGCACTACTGAAGTAGCAGTTTGCAGCTGCTATGCAAGACTCCACTTTGAAATGGTAGTCAGACATTCCCATCATGTGGCCAGTTTGCTAAGACAGCAGCCACAGCAATCAGCCTTTGCAACAAATGATATCTAAACAATTGCCTGCATTCAGCCCATCTAACCTTTAGGCACTTTGTTAAGGTGTCTGGGTCCCTAGTCACCCAGGTCTCCCCCCCCCCCCCCCCCCCCGGAAAAGAATATCAGTGAAGGCAGATAGTCTCAATTGCCTTCTGGAGGTGTCTCTTGACCCCTCACTGAGCAAAGCTGTATTTCAAGCAACCAAGTTCTTAACACAGGCACCACAGTTAGACAGGATGAATGGAGACTGGCATCTCTTCCAAGAGATAGTATCATACTCTCCAAAACCAAAGGCAATTAAGCAATTAAGGTTTGCAACTCTAGTTACATTTGGAAACAAACTTACAGTCAAGTGTTTATGCAGTAATCCCTCCCTCCCAAGCATAAAAGCCTTCCACATGGAGGCTCTGCTGTTAAAAAAAAAAAAGAGAAAAAGCATTCTTCTTTCGGACAAAGAAGACTGCACACGGCTGCTTTGCCACTCATTCATGGGTAAGCTGAAGGATCAGAGAACACTTATTCAGAGAACTGGAATGACTAAGCACTGCTAGTGCATGCAAAGCAGAAGTAACAAGATCGTTTTTAAATTAACCCTAGTCCTCTTCTCCACCCCACAAAATTCATGCAAGTGTTTGAGAAGATAAGTCAAGACATAATAGCCCCAGTTTCCAAAAAGGCTTAGTTTGGTTTTTTTAATACATACTGTAAAATGTCCTTTTGTTTTCTTTCTGTGGGTAGATAAATGCATTTTTGGCATGTTTGAGAATCATAGATATCTATGAAGCCCATGCTGTTTAAATTCTCCAACTAGTTTCTATAACCTGTCAAAAAAAATAAGCAACCTTTACATGTTTCCCCAGTATTGACATGCATGCTCAGAGCTCTCCACTGTAGTGAAATGAGGTGTTACTTCTGTGCTGATAGTTGACGAGTCAGCATTACACGACTTTGAGACCAACTAAATTAACATTGTCGTAATATGAAAGGCAAGCACAAGTTCATTTATTTATAGCAAAGGTCTTGGGTTACAGGAGGTCAGTTCTTGCCATCTTGAAAAGATAGGGGATAACTTATTGCATACATGTGCATTATAATTTAGCAGCAAGTCATTCATAGAAACACTTCCCTCCTACTGCTTTTTTGGTTTATTATCTCAATTATATATATATATTTTAACTTTACAAAGCATTTAACACCACCTTTAAGTTAATGGTCTTTTATTGGAAAAAAAAGACTAGCATTTACAACTTGGAATGGACATAAATTGTAATATCTTGAACAGCAATGTTGATAGTTGTGCTGAAGTCCACAGGCTACTCCGCCAGCTCCAAGTCATGGTACAGAAGGTTTTAAAAACATGAGAGTCCAAAGATGCTCCCTTGGTGAAGGTTTCTTTTAAAAATTTTGTGAACGGTAACAGCCTGACACCCGTTTCACTATAGTGCAATGCAGACAATGTTAAACCAGTATTTTAACACAGACATGCCATCCATAGTTAAGATCATCGTATTTTTGGAGCACACTGCTACGTACAGGAGAACCATTCAACCTTTAGGGCATTTTCTTTAAGTTTTGCATCCTTCAACCATTTTGCTGCATACCATCCTGAGGTATAAACCAATTTTAAAGTAAACCAGCTATGACAATTTACACTACAAATTGAACTAGAATCCACTATTGAACAAAAGAGTGGATCCTTTAGGTTGTTTTTTTCCTTTTAATACACATGTCTGACTGTGCTCAATTGTCAAGCTGCATGCATGAAAAACTGGCCAGCCCAAACAGTGTAATAGTCATTAGCAAATGGAACTTTTGAGTTCACTAAGTGCTTCCTTTTTTTTTTTTTATTTTCAAGGTAGTACAATTATTTATATTGTAAAACTGATGTTTAACTTTATCTTTTGGGGACAGGACCACCAACCATTACATGCAGTTTGTGGACAGAAGGTAATTTGACATTCAGTTTTGCTATACAGAAACAGAATGAATAAATGAACATTTTTTTTGCAAGAGGTAAGTAAAAGATTCAATTTGATTCTTCTAGAGGAAAAAAGGTGTAAAGGAGGTCTCTTCACTTTGCAGTCATCATCTGTACGAATTCTGAAAAGATAAAAAAGTCACTGTGATTTACTGTCTCTAGAGTACTTCAACTCAAAAATGTCTTAAATACAGTTGGCATAAAAAAGCACCTTTCGGTGCATCCATGGTTTTGTCCACAAAAGTGGACAAGCAAATAAACCAGTGTCTCAAGTATTAAAAATTAATGCCCTATACAACAGGCCTTCCTCAGTCTGACTAATGGTTTTGAGTCAAGACAAGCATCTTTTTACCTTCATAGTTGACTTGCCCATCCCCATCAATGTCTGCTTCTCTGATCATTTCATCTACTTCTTCATCTGTTAGCTTTTCTCCTAAGTTTGTCATAACATGACGTAGTTCTGCTGCACTGATATAGCCATTGCCATCCTATGAGAGAAGAGTTGCACAAGACCATGAACAACAATCCCGACACTGATTAACTTGGAAACTACATCTAGGTTTCCAGTAACTTGCTTCTGAATTAGCCTCATGGCACTTGGGACAGATGTACAGACCTGGCACACTGTACATACTGCAGTATGTACAAGTCCCACTGCCTTATGAGGCATGCATGACACCATATCCTTCTATACAATTACTGTGCTGTAATAACAACTGCATGCCTGACTTGTCCTTGTGATATGGTATTTTTAATGCTTTTAAAGAGCTTTCATAAATAAACACAGAAACAAAAAGAAACAAAGTTTTTGTTTAGTCTCTGCTGCCTAAGCAAGGCCAAAGAGAGACCCATTTTGCCACCAGGAATAAAGTCAGCTTCCTCTCCTGTGTTATCCACCTGCAGTCTGGTTGTAGAGATAGTGTCATGTCAGGCTTCTTGGATATAATAATATAGAATGAAATCAAAGAAAGTATTTAAACTTTATTCATAAGGAGTTGTGCAAAGTTTTGTGGGGGAAAAAAAAAGGAGGAATGACACTTCTAAGCTAGTGTCCCCATTAGTAATACCTAAACCTAATCTCATCCTCAGTCACTTCAGAAATCCCATATAGTGGAAGAACACATTATCTGAGAGCAGGACATGGCCATCAATAGCAGATAACCTACCTCAGTGGCTTTAAACAGTAATCTAATCTAGTCTGCAGAAAGAACCCCACAGGGTAGATGAAGTACTAACCAAGTAACTTCTAGCACATTTTCGGCTAAGTACTAGAAACTAACACTTTTTTCTATAAAAAGTAGTAAGGCCTTCTTCCACACATGTGTGTGCATCAGCTTCACAGCTGCACCAGCCACACTGCTCAACACAATTCTCTTATAACACGTCATATCCAAACAATCCAAAAGAGGGGAACCCCTGTTCTGGAAAACTGACATATGCTCAAATACTCTTAAACAAGGTGGAGGAAGCTGACCTCTAAGTTTTCATGAAAGCAACTTCAAAGTTCACATGTTGAAAACAAAACATGCAACACTTCATGTCCCTCTAAATACTGATGACATCATCTTGACTTTAAAAGCTTCCATAAAGTAGTATAAAACCTTGTGCATCCATGCAAATGTTTCCCCACTCCACTCTCAAAGTCCAAAGGTACAGAAAAATCCTCCCCTCCACCCACACCCCTCAAAAAAACCCCAACATTCCCCAAGCATTAAATTCCGCTAATCTCCGTTCCTAAGGAAAAGCCAGAAAGTTTTCCTCATAGACGAGCCTTAAGCTTAGATCTGTTGTGTAAAGCAGGCAGAATCAGCCGGAACAGTCCTGGTTCTATTTTCAGAACAGTCCCTACTCTAATTCCTCTGCTTCTACTAGAGGACTTTTTCTCCTCCTAGACAAGAAGAGAGAAAACACTGAGGAAAATATAAACATTATTGCTTCTAAAGAGTAGTTGTACTTTTATTAATACCTTGTCAAAGACTCGGAATGCCTCACGGATTTCTTCCTCGCTGTCTGTGTCCTTCATTTTTCTGGCCATCATGGTTAAAAATTCAGGGAAGTCGATAGTGCCATTGCCTTAATAAAAAGAAACTCCCAAAAATTAAACTTCCATGCTGTTCTTTATTAAAAAAAAAAATCTGGCATTTTACTTAGCCAAGATTGACAGATTCTCTGTTAACTATACTTACAGAAGAACTGGTTCTTCTCTCTAAATTGCTACCACTGCCTTTTTTGGTATTACAGTGTGCAGTAGCCACAGCAGCCACTGTTTCAGCACAACAAAATCAACTGTTGCCTTCTCTCCAGGTCAAGCCATACCATTTGCCACTCAGGCTGCAAGTAAAATGTCAGTCTGATGCTCCAGTCTTAAAAGATAAGGCTCATCTTTACTTCGAATCACTCCCACAAAAATGAATCTTTTAGTTTCTTTAGAATCTCTCAATTGCTGTGGAATACTCCAGAAGGAAATGTATAATAAAGCTGGCATTACAAATCCACGTTATCTAAAATTTTGGAGAACTACACTTCATTAAACTGCACATAAATACTTGTTTCTTTCTAAAAATCAACTGCCTTATCAACCCAAACTGTACACCACAAAAGCAATGCACCGTTTTAAGGGGGCAACAAGGATCTGCAAATTCCAAAGACAAGAGAAAAGCTGCCACTATTTGTTATTACCAATAATCTTAGCTGTAGGTGTTCTTATAGGTATTTGACTGCAAAACTGAAAATCCTTGTTTAACATCCAGGCCTCCCCCTTAAGATTTTTAAGCTTTGAATGAAAAATAACAATGTAAATTTCAAGCTGCTCAAACTAGGAGAAAATCAGTATGGTGAAAAAACTAGATTTGCATAGTCAGGATTCAGCTTTATATGCCAAAAAGGCACATTAAATAGTTCACAAAATTGAATTAAATACTTTACTGTGCAACTAAGAGCTACACATTGCTTGAAAGAAGTATTCAAACTCATAATGTAAACACAGCAAAGCAGCTAAATAAATGCAGTTTAAGAAAACTCTTGCATCCTAAGGATTCCAGCCGGAGACATACACAGCTATTTATTATCATGGTCAGCTTTATGTACCAGTTAAATATGAGTACATCTCATACTCAGCTTTGAAAAACCCTCAAAGAACATGTAGAATAACAGCAAAGCATTCTGCTGTAACCCAAATTTAAACAGATGGGCAGGCATACTTATCTGAAGTCCTCAGTCTCCTTTTGTTTTAAATCTACCAGAATAGCCTTGTGCTCTGCAGCCTAGAGAAGTCACTATACACAACCTCTATATACCACTGCAAACCCTGAAGTTTTTCATTATTTGCAAAGACTTATCAATTAAGGTCAATTTGCACTTTTAAGAAAGTAGTCTAAATAACATATCCTGATACTCAGATAATTTATACTCTTGCCAATACACTTTCACTCTTCTTTTACAAAGATGTTAAAGAAAAATGACTAGCACAACCAACACAAGACCAAAGGCTTGACATCAGTGAAAAAGCACTTTTCCTTTCTATAACTGTTAGCCCACGTGGAGTTGCAGAAACAAAATGTGTAGTGACCCTTTCTAGCATGCATTTAAAATAATTTTGTTAGTCTTGATATGGGAAGGGTTTTCTTCCCGTATGCCCCCATCTATTAGGGGGTCTAATACATTATGTAGACTATATAGTCTCTTCCTGTTGTGCTAAACTTCCAAGAATTGAAAACACTATTCCACTCCTACCACTCTTACCACAAATATTGGTAAAGCTATCAAGAGCAACATGGGCTGAAAAAACACATACAGAAAAGCTGGATGGAAAGACAGGTTAACATCAGGTCAGGGCAAGCCAGATAGCAATAGGAAGCCTGTGACCCATAAAATATTAAAGACAAATAGCATAACTTTGCCCATCCCCCCCCTTTTTGCAGTCTCACTAATGCTGATAGCATCTTTGACTACCTTCTGAGTTTAGATTCTAACAAGTATTTTGGAACTGCTTTAAGTGGTCAACATCGCAGTCTTCCCTATGCAGTCTAAGCCGAGGTGTGGAGGTCATACATATTTAAGATGATCACAGCACCTTTCCAACACTTACCATCAGCATCTACCTCATTGATCATATCCTGCAATTCTGCTTCTGTTGGATTTTGACCCAGTGACCTCATGACAGTCCCCAGTTCTTTTGTTGTGATAGTACCATCACCATCTTTGTCAAACAGGGAAAAGGCTTCCTTGAATTCTAGAGGCAGAAACAGTCCCAGTGTTTAGTAACATCACGAGCATGAGAAAAATCACATACCAAAAACACACTCCACTGACAAGAGCTGGTGAAAATCTAAAAAATATTTTCTCGTCTTATCTAACTGTTCATGTATTGAGAGAATGAACATACTCAAATATCAATAAAAAACTTTACTTACAGTACCAACACAATTTGCACAGTATATTCAACCTCATTTCATGTGGCTATTATCTGCATTACACCTCTATAATGCATTTCCATGCATCTGCATCTTGCCTGAGGTACAGTTGCTCCATAAACAGCAGCTGTCTGCAGTAAGTGAAAGGACCCACTGGGTTCCCTTTACCATTAACAGACTTACAGGAACAAAAGTGTTGTCATTTACCACCTATTTTTAAGGCAGCAGACAACAGGAATTAGCGTCAGCCAGAAGTGGGTGACTGGTCTACAAAAGGTCAAATAACGCTCCTTCTCCCTAACCAGTCTGAATTACAGGTAGTCTATTAAAAGTTTCATTTAAAAGACACTGGTTTATAATAAGATGTAATAAACCCATCTGAGATTTATTTGTTGCCATTTCACTTCTAGTTTATCTTCACTTCATTAAAGAGTACCTAGGTCTGCTTTGACTCCAAGTAGTGCATTTGAGTCTAGCAATTATTTCTGTTTGCAAGAAATCTAGAAGTACTTGGCTCAAGTTTGAAAGTCTAAAAAAAAAAAAAAATCATTATCTGTAGTCCAAGGAACAAGCACTCTAAATTAAGAGGCAATGAACCAGTAATATTCCAGAACATTTTTGTTTGTTTTTTCTAGTTTGGTTTCAAGTGAGTGCTTTTCAGAACAGTGTTAGTAACAGACTTAAAATTGTCAAAAATGTTTTTTTCCATTATGTTTGAGATAATTTATTTTCTTTTAGTCACAAGAGTTAGCAAAAAAAAAAAATTCTCATCAAAACACTTACCAGCAATCTGTTCTTCAGTCAGTTGATCAGCCTACACGAAGAATAGAACATTTTAGAATACTGTTCATCTCTAGCTATGTCAAGCCATAAGGCACTTCCTTTAAATTTCAGCAGTGATTTATCATTACCTTCACAAGCCACTTTCAAACCCTGGAATTCTGCCTCTGCAAGGGGACTCCAATCACCTACACCATGCAGCTGTTTCCAAATGCATATAAGCTAACTTCTTTTGGAATTGCATATGAAGAAGCAGACATGCCATCCTGCAACTTGGTGAATCCAATTTGGTCCAGTAAAGGACATAGGCAGGCTCCTTGCAATTGGTCAGAGAGGCATGAAATCCTTAATGACATGTGTTTGGGGTTTTGCATCACACATCACTCCCGGCGGTACAGTGCCCCAGCAGTGCGTGGGGGGATCTGCACACGCGTGGGCTGACACGCTGCCCACTGCTCCAGCCCTGCTCGCCCTCCCTGCCTCACAGCAGCAACCAACCGGCACTGGTGAGCTCCACAGAAAGGACTCTGCTGGAATATTAGGAGGAACTACAACTCAGTATTACGGAGATTTCTGCCACCTCTGACAAAGAAAATGACAGTTTTCATGCATCATATTTTTCCCCCTCAGCCAAGCAGTTTAAGGTGCTTCATCATGATATATGGGTTGTTTTATACATAATTTTAGGTGGTAAGTTTTCAAACACCTGCTTATGACCTTCTGAACATCCAGAGGCCACTGCAGCATCCAGAGGTATACAGCCCTGTGGGCAATCAAACAGGCTTTCCAGGGCTTAACTGTGCTAGCCACATCCTTCCAGAAGCCTCTCCCTTGTCTATGGATAGAGCATCACAAAAAGCTCCACTGTTTGGACTCAAAGGAGCTAACCAGTTCTTTATGGGAAAATACGCCTTTTTCTAGTAATTAAGAAAGGGAAAAAAAGGGGGTTTTACACATCTAATCATAGATACTGGAGAATACAAGGCACTAACTCCTCTTAAACTCATTTTATTGGACTTCTTACTAACAGAACAGAGAATTTTGTACATCAAAGTAGGCACCTTTATTGTCCTAAAATACTATTATTTAAGTACAAAAGCACTTAACTGCAGTAAAGAGCAGCAAATCCAACAGAGAATTAATCAGCTACACAATCTGTTAAGCTCACGCACAGGAGAATAGGGCAGGGTTGAAAATCTGCTCTATATGTAAAGGGAAATACACAGATTTCACCTGTAATTAGGTGTTGCAGGGTGGGGGGGTGGTGTTTGTTTGTTTTTATGTCTGTATGTAACAACTAAAGAATTCCCTATATGCACAGTTGAGTGAGGGAGAAAAGGGTAGAAACGGTATCAGCTAAAGACAGAGTTCAAATTTAATAAATCTTCTTTAATAACAGCAGAAGGCTTGTGTTCAAAATCCAGATCGACTTCCTGCACTCTTTGCGATTTTCCAGAAAATGCGAGGTTTTACTTAAAGATTATCTAAGGAATTTACATAACAGACTCAGTGCCCTGCAGAACAGGAAACAGAGCCACACCTCGGCAAAAAACCTCCAGCCCACAGCACCAGCTCACTGCCCCATTAGTCGGAGCTCGCTGACCGTTTCTAAAAATCGTATTTCAAATTTAAAAAACAAGCACAGAAAAAAAACCCAAACAAAAACCCTCAAAACCTTCACACACCCGGCGATGCCCGAGGCACGCAACCCAACTCTACACCGGCAAGGGTTCACCTTCCCGAGCAACAGGCACAGCCACTGCCGCTCGCCCCAGCTACAGGACAAAGGTACCCAAGGGCTGGAGCCATCACCCCACCCAGCCAAGTCATCAGATCCTATCCTGGTGATGTCAGCCTTCTCCTATGGGAAGGGGAGATGCAGAGACAGAGCCGAGGAACACCCAGATTGCCAAAAAGCGATTAGAGGTCAGCCTGCAACTGTATCGTCGCTCTCGTCGGAAGCGAAAAGTCACCGGGAAAACCCCAGCCCTTCCTCTGGCTCTCTCCTGCGAGGAGCGCGGGCTGGCCCCGCAGCGCCCGGAGGATGCTTTGCGCCGCGTTCCGGCGGCACCGCCGGCCCGGCGGGGCGGGAAGCTCGCAGCCCGCCGGCGCAACAGGCGCCCTTCCCGGCCAGCAGCCACCCACTGCTGCAGTGCGTCCCCGATTCTCCTCCCTCCCTCTCCAGCCGGGGGCCACACCACGTCCTCATCCTTCAGCCGCGAGGGCGTCTGGGCTCCGCAGCCAGCCTTCCCTCCCCATCCCCTTCCCTCCCCCGGGTGGCGGAGGCAGCGGCTCTTCCCCCGCAGCCCCCGGGGAGAGGGGAGGCTGCACCCCCTCCTCCGAGCCCCCCATGCGGGCGCTGGGCCGCTTCCAACCGAGCAACGCGCACTGCGCCCCGGTCCCCCGCGGCCGGGGGGTGCGCGGGGGCCGGGAGGAAGAGGAGGAGACATGATGTAATGCAGACAGCGATGGGCTTCGCCGCCGCCGTTGCGTTTTTTTTGGGGGATGGGGGGGCGCAGTAGCTGCAGCGCGGTGCCCTCCCCCGGCCGCCCCCCCGCTCCCTGCGCAGTGCAGCTGGTGCCGGAGCCGAGCGGGATCTTCGCCCGCAGACCCGCGCCCCGCCCCGCAACGCGCCCTGCCCGGCGCTGGGGCCGCGGCCCCGGGGAGACGCGCCCGGCCCTTTCCGCAGGGGAGGGGAGGCGAGGCGGGGCGGGAGGGCGCGGGGCCGGGGCGCCAACACGGCAGGCCCAAGGAAACGGGAAGGAAGCGGCTGAAGAGTAAGGGCCGCAGCTCCGCGGCAATCCCGCGAAACGCTGCAGGGAGGTGGCGAGGAGGCGTCCGCAATGACCAGCCCGCTCACCCCGCGGGAATCCGGGAGGGAAGGGCTCCCGCGGGGCTCCCCCCACCCCATCCCCCGCTCCTCCCCGGGGACAGCCCGGCTCCTCCGACCCGACCGTCCCCGGCTCCGCAGCGAGCCCCCTGCGCGCCTGCCCCCGCACCAGCCCGGCCACCCCGTGCCGCGCCCAGCGAAGCGAGTGAGCCCCTACCATGGCGGGCCCGGCGGCGGCTGCACGAACTGCGCGACCACGAGCGGCGGCGGCGGCTGCTGCCTCCTCCCGGCGCGGCTCGCAGAGTGCTGGGGCTGTGAGCCTGCGCCGTCCCGCTATATACGTGGGGCTGTATCCCTCCGCCGGAGCGGGGCCCTTTTCCCTCCTCCCGGCGCGGTATGTGCGAGGTGACTGCGGCGGGTGGCCCTGCCCCCTCCGCGGCCCGGCCCCGCCCCTCTGCCGGCGGGGCCGCTCCCGCAGCCCCGCGGCCGAGCGCGCCCGGAGGGGCGAGGGCGGCCCGGCCTCGCCAGTGGCCCTTTCCCGCTGAGCGCTAGTGCCTGCGCACCCGGCGAGGAGCTCCCTCACCAGAGCGAGGGCATCTCGGCCGAGCCGGTGCTTTTTTTATTCTCTAGACAGCATCCCCGCCGGCGGTGCGGGCCCGCGCTCCCCCAGGGAGCCCGGAGCGGCACCTGGAAAGGGTGATGGCGCGGGGAAGGGGAGAAACGTTAATAATGTTAATTTTTTTTCGGTGACAAGGCGGCTGCTAAAGCGACCGTAGAATTGAAATGTTGAAGCGAGCACAACTGCCTTTTTATTAATCATAGGGATTTTGTCAAGCGCCAAAATGCAGACGACAGTAAAATTCAAGCCAGAATCAGATGGCTTACAACTGAGGTGTCGTTTCAGCCCCTTCTCATCAGAACGGCAGGAGCCTGCAAGTGAGAGGCAGCAAAAGCATGTCCTGATGTCAAGTGTTTTTTTCATTTCTTCTCTGTCAGCTCTGGGCTTGAGGATTTTGTCCACCAACTGGTAACAGCCCAAGTAAATACTGTAGCATTCAAAATGTACTTCCTTTAATAGGTATGGAAGCACAGGCAAACATGGACTCACATTGGAATCTAGGATTTTGGTTCCATTCAGGACAAGTTCCCTTAGATTTTGAGATTCCTGGTAGTTCAAGATATTTTTAGCTGAAGATTTTAGTTTGGGACTCTCTGGATTGGGAGGCTCGCAGTATTTTCAATGAGGTCATAATTCTAATAAACCTACTTGCAGTATAGCACTAAATCTGAAATTCATTCGTCTGTTTTTCTGTTTTTGAAAAATAGTGCATACCTTCAGTGTTTGAAATAAAGCCAAAATCAGTTTGGTTCTGTTTGTTTAACAATTTCAATAGCTCTGCCACTGAAGTTAAAATTTATTTGCTTGCCTTTCTGGAAAGCAATGATAGGTTGGCAAACTCAACAGTTACCTGTTTGCAATCTAGAAGGATTTCTCCTAGCAAACAAAAACATATTTAATGTGTCATAGTTTGGTCCCCAAATCATTCTAACATCTGTGTAGGAACTAGGATATGAAACAGTGTCAGAAAACTGATTTGCAGCTGGCTAGTCTGCAAATGATAGGTTTATAGACAGCTTCCAGTTTAGATGCGGAATGCCTGGCCTCCTATTTTTAATATGCTTAATTTTTTTTAACTACTAAATAGTGATGCTGAATTTTTTATTTTATTTTTTTTGCTATGCAAGAACACGCAAATTGTTTTGTTTTGTTTTTTTTTTAAACCAGACAAACAATTTTAAGCCCTTATTTTCCTCGCTTAATTTCTAAAACATGGCACAGTGTTTGATTGGTGTGAGCATTTGCTTGGGTAAGAGAATCTTGGAACTCCCTGAGTCTCACAGGGATGTGTGAAGAACAGTGTTCATGTCCAAATTGTTTACCTCATTGTGCTGGTTTTACACATGAAGATCTTATTATTAAAACACTGAATTCTACATAAATATTGGGCTAATAAATTTGCACAGTTATCTTGCAAAGATAAATAGCGAATGCAGTCTCATGGTCTTTGGCCAAAATATTTTTAACATGGAAGGTTGAAGGTATTATCAGGAGAATAATCTTACCAACATTTAAATGTGACAGTTTAGAATGTGGGTGCCTTATTTCAGTCTCTTTAAAGTTAATTTTAAGCGCATGTAATATGTTCTTCCATTGATCCAACCCTTCACTTGTTAAAAAGCGAAGGGATTAAATTTATCTGTTGAGAAGAGACTATGAGACAAGTAATTAAAATTTATGTAGATTCTCTTATAAACTATCAGCATTACTGTGTTTGGACATACGTGATGAAACTTAGAAATGTGAAGTAGAAAGCCACTCAGTCACATTCAATGAATGTTGCCAAAGATTAACAGGGCCTTTGAGTAGAAGGATTGCTGGCGTTGCTTTCTTTTTTTTTTTTAACCTTTTGTGTCTATTTTTCCTAACTCTTTATGGTTCATGTTAATAATTAATTTATATTAAAAATGGAATTTGAAAAAAAGTTACTTTTAAAGTAGTTTGGAATATAGTTATCTTGTTTTATTTAAGAAAAATTTCAGGGTGATCAATTAAGGTGCTACAGTTAGGTTCTGCAGTAGTTTCTGTTAAATTGCATCATTCTGTATTTGAAAATATTTCACAGCTCATGTTCCAAAATACCACTCTGACTAAGGGGAATTTTTTTCCTAATTTGACATATGGCAGTGATAAATGTAAACAAAGCAGAACACTAATGTTTTGCTGCTTATTTAATGTAAAAAATAAAATCATCTAAACTGGCATCTGCCTGCTACTTGTAAATTTGCTTTCACTCAATTATACAGCTAGATCTTGATCAGTATTCTTTGTTCCCTTAAATTTACATTCAGTTGTAGGCAGGCAAGAAATGCCCCTGTCATTCCAATGACATAAAATGTCAAATGGTTTGCCAGGATCTTCTACAGTCTCATTCAAAATCTCCTGAATCTCAGTGGGAGCTGGACTGGGCCATGGAATTACTCAGTACTTGTGCCTGACACCATACAACTTGGCCATCTCATTGCTACAGAGCTTTTCTATGAACAGAGGGCTATGCAATAGCTATTAAGATGAATTTTGACTGGAGAGATTTACTGTTCTAAATTACTTTACTCTGTAAGCATAGTCTTGTTGACTTGTGTTTGAGTTGTAATAGTAAGAAAATACTATTTTATAAATTTATTAGTTGCAGCAGGAGACTTGCAACCATTCTACCTAGTATTCCTAAGTTTTGCCTTAATATGAGAGTAAGTTTATAGTGTTGGTCTTTGTTTCAGCATGTCCATTCTTTGGGAGCAGCATAAGATATCAGGAGGATTTCTGTTGAGAACATGAAAAAATAATAGACCCCTCTACTTACATACAAGGTGTGCTTTTTTGCTTTGGCCTTGTTAACATAAGCACTGAAGAACACGGTCACACATGTATCAATTGATTTCTCAAATATACATAAATTAAAAAAAAAGCAACCAAAATAAATCAGAACATTTCACAGACATCTGTCCTGAGAGAATGGATGTAAAAACAGATGAACAGAAGCTTGTCATATCATTTAATGCATAGCTGGGAGGCTGATATTATGGCGATAAGCACAGATAACCATTTTATAGTAAGTTAGATGTACAAGAAGCCAAAATCAAGTATATATGTGCATGCATCATCTGTGCAACTGGAAAAAAATTAATTATTAGTTTTCATAGCTATAAAATTGGCAGTTATATATGTGAGCTACCCAAACTAGGTTTAAGTTTGTTGTACTGCTTTTCAAGTCAACTGGAATTCTGATTGTATATCAGAAAATAGGTTTTTTACACTCTCCATAAAATTATCTTCATATAGGCAATGTTTTTTGGGGAGACTGTTTTCCACAAAAATTAATGTTTCTAAATGCCATGGGCAGCTGTGAAAATCTAAGTGAGTATTCTTATAAAATACTCTGTGAGCTTCACAGGTTGCAAATAAGTGGGTGGAACTCCATTGAAACAAAAACTTAGAACAGAATTGATTTTGACCACATTTATACAAGATGTGAAAATAAAAATTGCTTTCATCTTAACATTCAAAGTTCCAGACCTTGGAGCATTTTTAAATGGGTAAATACATGTTCCTGTAGATAACTGTTCCTTTTATGAGAAAGGAAAAAAAACCCAACCAAACTCCCCAATCTTTTACATGCTTGTGATTTCTTTACATTTGTCTCATTCCAACTGGTGTACATCAGAATCACATACAATTAAGAATTTTCACTGAGCATTTAGTGTTAGAAGGCCATCTATGTAATTGAATAATCTGTGGTTGTTACCTACATTGAGAGTCTGTTGCCTTGTAAAGTTTTAGATGGTGATATAAAACTGATTTAACCATTAGTTAGAACTAAATTATTTATATATTGTAATTAAATCAGGGAAACCTTTTCCAGGTAGCTATGTAAACTGGCATCCTTGAGGCCCAATAATTTGAAAAGTTTCATGTTCTAAACTTAGGGTATTTGGAATTGGAAACTTTAAAGATCTTATCTTAAAAAAGACTTGGAAAGATGGGAATTACAAACCTGCTCCCACACATATCCTCAGTCATACATCTTGCAGATTAAACATCACAAAATTCTTTTAAATCAAAGTGCCTTTTCCTACTCTTTTTTTTTTACACTTGAAATGTAAAATAAATTAAAAAAGAACAAAACTTTTCCACACAGTCTTAAAAAACCCCAACCTTTCTTCATAGTCCTATGAAGAGTTCTCTAGAAACATTGGAGTATGTGAAAACAGGATTTTCCTTCCCAGTTTTTGTAATTGCCAGCTTCACAGAAAGGTAAACATTGGATGATTCATGATATAAACAAGTTACTCGTTCCATTTTTCTATGTTTTGTTACTGTTAGTGTTATTACAGATAAAAGCCAAACTATATCCACTATTTTTCAATAATCAAATGCAGAAAAGGATATTTATGTATGTGTTTGCTAAGTATTTCGTATTTTTACATAACACTGTCAAGCATACTTAGGTCTTGCTTCCTCACTGATAGATACATGCACATGAACAATATTCCCTGATGATTCTTCCAAGTAATATATCTGTCAAAGGAAAGTCATATATTTTTACCATAAATATATTTGAAAATATTCTGTATAGAAAGTTGCATACGGGAACAGTCATTCTAATAATAAGAAAAATTCTGCTTCTAATTTCAGTAGATGGATTCCTCTAAATTTTAAGTGATACAATATAAGAAACAAACTAATTTTTTTATCAGATTCACCCTATTAGGAATGGCTTGAGTTTGCATTTATTTCTTTAGAATATGCTAGAAAAGTGAGTGGGCCAAAAACTGGTTTACTTTATGAGTTCAAATTTCTGCATTAGAACTGATAAAAGCTGAACAGCTGTTGCTGTTAGCTACAGATTTTGAACCAATATATAGCTTAAAATGGTATAATAAATAATGGTAAACAAATAGCTTTCAGAATTTAAGTCCTGAAAAAAGGCTGAGAATCAGTTTGTTCAACTCCAGTAACGTTGTTTCT